GATTAAATTGTAACATATTTAATTTTTTCTTGGGGTGTAAATGCACTTACCATCTTGAATTATGAATACTTCATACTACATTGACAAAAGAAGTAAATATAGATGACAGTAATTAAAGAATTTATTTGTAGTTGTGTTATTTGGGGAGTTTCAGGTAAAGATGATCCCCCTCTCTTTCTCACTCACTCTTGTTGTTCCCTCCTTTATTGTTGTGATCAAAACCAGGGCTTCATACATACTACTTCCACGCACTCTTTCACTGAGCTGTAACCCAGGCCTTGGCTTCTTTCTAATGGAATCCTTGTTCTACAGGCTAATTCCCCATCCCCTTATCTGTGCTTTTCTCGCTTTCCATTCTGAAGTTTCCAAGAAGCGTCTGTTAGAGTCTACTTTACCAAATCACTTGCTATGACTTTAACTGAGAAATTACAAAGTCATAAAACAAAGGAACCAGACTGCAGATGGAAGTTTCAGTCCCACCTGGTTCTTGCAGCTGTTTAGTTCCAAATAAACACACAGAGGCTTATATTATTGTTTGGCCCATGGCTTCCACTTCTTATTGGTTAGTGTTCTCTCTCTCTCTCTCTCTCTCTCTCTCTCTCTCTCTCTCTCTCTCTCTCTCTCTCTGTTTTTTGAGACAGGGTTTCTCTATATTGCTTTGGAGCCTGTCCTGGGACTCGCTCTGTAGACCAGGCTGGCCTCAAAGTCACAGAGCTCTGCCTGCCTCTGCCTCCCTAGTGCTGAGGTTAAAGGCATGCACCACCAATGCTCGGCTTCGATACTGTACTTCTTAATAAGCTTGCTGGCATAAGACATAGTGTTGTAGAATATTATTTTAAGAGTGTTACATTTGTTTATGCTGTGGAACATTTGTTTATGCTGTGAAACATTTGTTTAATGATACAAAGATGTGTTGCATTCTTTATGTTGCATTTGTTTGACTCTGTGAAGCTGTGTTATTTTGCCTGTCTAAAGTACCTGATTGGTCTAATAAAGAGCTGAATGGCCAATAGCAAGGCAAAAGAAAGGACAGGTGGGGCTGGCAGGCAGAGAGAATAAAGAAGAGGAGAAACCTGGGAGAAAAGATGGAGGAGCAAGAAAAGGAGGACTCCAGAGGCCAGACACTCAGCTACACAGCAAACCACAGAAAAGGAAGTAAAGAAAGGTACACAGACATAGAGAACGATAAAAGGCCAGAGGCAAAAGGTAGATGGGATCATTTAAGTTAAGAAAATCTGTCTAGAAACAAGCCAAGCTAAGGCAGGGCATTCGTAAGAAGTCTCTCCATGTGACTTACTTGGGAACTGGCTGGTGGGTCCCCCAAGAGTAAAAGCCAACAACACAGATTATGCAAGACTTCCTGAACTCACCAACCTGCCTGAATTTCTCATTCCCTCGTCCTTCCTCCTCAGGTTCCCGCCACTGAAGAATGATCTGCTGGTCTAGGTGAGTGGCTCACTAAATTTAACCAGGGCTATGTGACCACAGATTTGGGGCCTAGTGGGCTATCAATAGCCAATAATTTATCAAGAGGTAAAGGCTCATGGGTGCCTTCTTTATATAGATTAAGACTGATTTTGGAGAAGGCCAGTCTTGTACTAGCAGTTGCTGTAAATTGATGATTGTAATAGTATTGAGTCTATAGAGGATGGTATTTTGCAACCCTTCACCTTATCCTCCAGCTTTTATATACTTCCTGCCTCCTCTTCCAAAATGTTCCCTGACATCTAGAGAAGGTGCTAAAAAGGGTCTTGTTTAGAGTAAACTCCTACAGGTTGATTGTTCTCACTACCAAGGGTAACCATGAGCCTTTGCATTCACTGTCATTAAAGGGTTCATAGTAATCTTAATCTCCTTTTACTTCCATTTCAACAATTAGTAACGGCTCCAATATGGGGCTCCAATTTTCTATATTAGCCATCTTCAATCATTCTCCTCCCATTATTTTTTCTCCCTCTTCCCTTTTTCTTTTCCTCCTTCCTTCCCTTCTCTCCTCTTCCTTATTCTTTTCCTCCAGTTTCTCCTCATCTTTACTCCCCTGCCCCCTCCTCTCCCTCTTTCTTTTAGAGTCAGGATCTCAAGTATAATAGGCTGATCTCAAATTCACTCTGAAGCTCAGCATGACCTTGAATTCCTGATCCTCATGCCTCCACTTCTAGTGTGCTGGAATTACAGGCATGTATAAACCACACCCAGCTTATATGGTGATGGGGGTCAAACACAGGGCTTTGTACATGCTAGGCAAACATTCAAATATCTGAGCTACATTCCCACTCCTTCAAAGTTTTATTTCTTCCACATTATTTTCTTAAAAAATAAACCCACACTTCATTATTTTTATTTTATTTATATGAGTATTTTACCTGTGCACACAAGAACGTGTGTGTGTGTGTGTGTGTGTGTGTGTGTGTGTGTGTGTACCAATTGCATGCCTGGTGCCCTCAAAGACCAGAGATGACTCTGGACCCTCTGGAACTGGGGTTACAGATGGTTTGTGAGCTGCCATGTAGGTGCTTGGCTGCCTCCATTTCTGGGGCTGGAGAACTTATCCGGGAGTTGCTTGGCTAAAAAATAAAAAATGACAGCAAAACAAAACAAAATATTCTTTTACTTTTCCAGTTTGGCTTGATCTGGCTTACTGTGTTAGTGTAGCTATTAAGGAAATACAGAAAACCTATTAGTACGCACTCCTCGGACACACTAGCTTAATTTGCTGTCAGGGCACGTCATTTCTTAATTAGATGCTCCTTCTTAGACTCTTCCTGCTCATCCATGTCTCCCTGAATTTTGCATTATACCCAGATCATCATTCTCGATTCTCTTCTATTTAAAATTCCCCTTTTAAGAGCGTCCAGTTTGTGAAAACTGGCTTCAGGGCCATATAAAAATGCTGAAAATTCTTGTTTCCTTTACCCCGTACTCATACACACAATCACCTACTCAAGATTGCCACTTGAGAGCTGGATTGGTTGTATACAACTGTCATCACAGCCTTGGGGATAGAGACAGGAGTTCAAGGCCAGCCTGGGTTACATACTCCGGACAGCCAGGCCTATATGAAACTGTCTAAAAGAAGAAAAATTGAGGCCAGGTGGTGGTGGTGCACACCTTTAGTCCCAGCACTTGGGAGGCAGAGGCAGGTGGATATCTGTGAGTTTGAGACTAGGGTTTCTCTGTATTGCTTTGGAGTCTGTCCTGGAACTAGCTCTGTAGACCAGGCTGGTCTCGAACTCAGATCCACCTGCCTCTGCTGAGTGCTGGAATTAAAGACATGTGCCAGCAACATCCAGCCCAGACTTTTTATATATTCACTTTATTATTTATTGCCTATCACCCCATCTCCAAAATATAATATCCATAAAGGGATGACATTTTTTTTTTTTTTTTGCCTTTTTTGTCTTTCTGTGTATACAGCAGGACAATCTGAACAGTGTCTGGGTACTAAGAAGATATTTATCAAGGGCTGGGGAGATTGCTCTGTCGTTCTGAGGGCTTCCTGCTATTTCAGAGGACGCAAGATATACAGCTTAGGAGCAACTGTAGTTCCCGCTCCAGGTGATATGGACAATCACACACATTATACACACAAATACAAATTTAAAATATTAAACAAAATCAGTATCACCCATCCTCCCCCCCCTGCCCCTTCCCTTCCCCTCTCTTCTGCCTTAAGTAGTCCAGATTGGGCTTGAACACCTGATCCTGCTTAGACCTCCAAGGGCTGGAAGCCTTCTCGTGCCAGAGCAGAGCCCATACACCCGGAAAGCCTTTCCCTGAAGCAGGGCTGTAAGTTGCTATGCTTACTGTGACCTGTGCTAATCCTAGGCTCCCAGTGTCAGAATACCTTTCCGACTGAGCTGTAACACTCAGTATCCCTATGGCTGAATCTCTTTCTATCCCATTGGAGCCTCTGCAATGCTTACACTGTTCATATTCTCCTTTATCTTAGAAATTACTTAAGTCGTTTAATTAAATATGGAAATCAGTGGATACAGTATTTATTTGCAAACAATTACTACTCGGGTTAAAAACCTATCTCCAGAAACTGAAAATATTAGAAACATAAACTTAATGGGCATCAAGGGAAGGCATGACATACGAGGAAAAAATAAATTGGGAACCGCATCTTCCTACAACAGTCACTCAGATCAACAGCTGTACTCCTTCTAGGGTGGCTCTTTCTCCCTTATTTGTCCCTCAGTAACCAAGAAGGGCACCATGCCAGGCGTTATGCAGCCTTAACTGAGTTGCTATGCCAGGTCCCAGGAGGGCTCCTGTCTTCACAAGTATTTAATTCGCCGTTTATTTAATTTTTTTTTTTAACCTTTGAATCTGGATTCTGTGGCAGAGGCAAGAAAACAATGCAAACTTAAAAAAAAAAGTCAAAGTTGAAAAAAAAGAAATAAAGTGGGGGAAAAGTTGAAGGTACGCAAAGGCCACGCAGAACTGAGTGGGAAGGAGCACCCTCCTCCCTCGCATACTGGTGATGGCGTCTCCGTGGCTGCGGGCGCCTCCTTTCCCTTCCCGGAGTGGGACTCTGAGCCGATCCCCTTGGAACCAGCTCCGAGCGTCTTCGGAATTGCGGTGGAACCCGCTCACACAAGACCTGACTTAAACAGAGTCCAGGGAGGAGCGCGGGCCGCCACGCTCTGCACCGGGAGCTGCGAGTCTGGAACGGCGGAGAGGGCGCTCCACCGAGCCCACGCTCCGCGCACCCCTGCGCCGCTCGCCCGCGCCCCTCCCACGTACGCGCCTCCCCTTTAAGCACCACGGCGCAGGCGGATTTGTGTCGGCGGACGCCAGGCCTGGCTCCCCCCCTCCCTCCCTTTACGGCGGAGCCGGGCGCCCGCGCCTAGACAGCCTCGGCGGCTGCGGGTGGGGGCGGGGTCCCGCGCGCAGAGCCCGCCTCCGCCGCCCTCGCTCGCCGCAGCGCTGCCCGGTGGAGCGTGCACCGGGGGCGGGCCGTGGGCGGGCCGGGCCGGCGGGGCTGGGGCGGGGAGGCAGGCCGGCCGGCGGGCGGCCGCTCTCGGGTCCGCCTCCGACTGCGGCGCGGCGGGGCGATGTGAGTGCCATGGCGAGGAGTCTCTGCGCGGGGGCCTGGTTGAGGAAACCCCATTACCTCCAGGTAGGCCGGCCTGGCCCCGCCACGCGCCCTGCGCTCCGCTCCGTGCAGCACCGTGCGGAACTCCGCGCCGCGTCCTCCCTCCGCGCGCCCTCCGCCGCCTCCTGCGGACCGGTCGGCACCTGGCGGCGCGCCTTTCCCGGTCCCGATTCGCCCGGCTCCCCGCTCCCGCTCCCCGGGCGCCGCCCCAGCCCCGCGCCCCTCCGAGTCCTGGCCCGGGACGCGCCGCGCTCCCTCCCTCCTTCCTTCCCTCCCTCGCTCCTCGGCGTGCTCCCCCTTTCCTCCAGGGCCCCCAGACGTGCCATCCCCGACTCGGTGTCTCGGGTAGGAAAAGGTGGTGTGTCAGTCCTCCATATTTTAGAGAATCGTGACAGATTGTTACACCAGTGGGTCCCCAAGTCCCAGGCAGCGGCTGTGCCTCGTGCAGAACCCCTGGGCTTGGCGTTCCCAATCCTAACCCTGGTTGATTGAGGCGATGGGCATTTCGCTTTGGTCAAAGGAAAGGGAATAGTGACTGCTGCGCGGCTCTCCAGTCAGCTCCTCAGCAATGCGAACGCATTTCTCAAGTCACGTCGTGTGTACTGTTGGCGTGTTAATTCTTCATGATTCTGTGTTTCGCTGCCAGCCGGCTTTCGCTGCCTTCGTGCACTGTTTGGTCACCAGGGGGACCTAGTAGGCATTTGTGAGTAGCTGATTGCAAATCTATCACTACGACTACAGATCAATGCCCCACACTTGGTCAGCAGTGTTGTGTTAAGAGTCTTGATGGTATGGGAAGGCTATTTAGGGTCAGCTGATGGTGCTTCTTAGAAGTGTGAAAAAAATAGTTGAGAGGGAACCATCATAACCCAATAACACTTTGAAATGAGACCCTGAAAAGATGATTTGACAGTTCATGGTATTAAGAGGGTAAGACTGAATGTTCTGTTTGTAGCAGCACCCCCAGAAGTAGTTGTGCCTTGAGCACCAGTATCAGAAGCCAATTTCGAATTCCACCCTTTTCGGGTGACCCTTTATTGTTAAAGTATTTTGTCATATTTACAATCTAAAGTTAAACTACTTAGCTTTCTATTATTAGGGTTTTTTATGATAGAGTTTTAGACTTTAGTTGTTTTGGCTCTAAGTGATTCCCACAGATGTGAACACAAACACTCTTTGGCACACAGGTTTTCTGATTTGATTTAGTTGAGGCTATAGCTTGGAGGCCCCTAGGTTCAATCCCCATCACCACAAAAAAATAGTTTTACAAAAAGCTGTACTTCCATTAATGACAATGGTGTTGTAGTTTTCTGAATTTTCATTTTTTATCAATAATCAAATCAGGGTAAGCTTGCTAGTGGACCTTATTTAATACCAGCCCATGGGAGGCAGACCTCTGTGAGTTCAAGGCTAGCCTAGTCTACATAGCAAGTTCTAAACTAGCCAGGAATACATAGAGACCCTGTCTTTAAAAAAAATTAAGGTAAACTCAAAATTTATTTTTAAAGACAAGTTTTCATGTAGCCCAGATTGGCTTAGAACCAGACAGGTAGCTGAGGATGGCCTTGAACTTCTGATCCTCCTGCTCTGTTACTTTTTGTGTCTACAAGAGTGCAGAGGGCACAAGTCAGTATGTTCTTGATAGCCCGCTTTCCTGGCCTTTTTGTTTTGTTTTGCTGGATGGTTTCTCTCTGTAGCCCTAAACTCACTCTGTAGACCAGGTTGGTCTCAAACTCAGACACCCTCCTGCCTCTGCCTCCCCAGTGCTGGGATTAAAGGGGTGCATCACCACTGCCTGGCCTCCTCCCTGTTTCTGAGACCTCTCCAGTAGACCTCTCTAAATATGCTGGCCTGACTGGCTGGCCACTGAGCCCAGGGACCTCCCGTCTCCACTCATCTGGCCTTGGCATTGCAAGGGTGTGTAGGTGCTGGGCAGTAGGGTCAGTTCCTCATATTTGAGCAGTAATCCCTTAACAGACTGAGCTAGCTCCACAGCCCCAACTTTCCCTCTACTTTCCTTCTTCCAAGTTGTACATTTATCCCCAGCAGTGCATTAACTAACTAAATTTGATTTGTCATGGAGAGGGTTTATTTGCACTATCTTTTGGCAAAAGAAAATTAAAAACTTTCCCCTTAACAGATTATTTGTCATCTCTCTCTCCCTCCCTCTTTCTCTCTCCCTCCCCTTCCTTTTCCTCCCCTCTCTTTCCTCCCCTCTCCTCCCTCCCCCCTTCTCTCTGACTAAGGCTCAGTAGCTTAGTCTGGCTTGAGCTCTGACCTTCCTGCTTCTACCTGATAAGTGCAGGGAGTACACATGTGCCCCACTATACCTTACTATGGGGAAACTAATTATTATTTTATGTTTTGAGAGAATGTCTTATAATACAAATTCCTGTTGAATGGTTTCATTATCACTTTTGTGTTCTTTGAGATAAGGTCTTGCTGTGTATACCTGCAGGCTGGCTTGGTACTTGATAATGTAGTTTAGGTTGGCCTCAGACTTGTGGTGGACCTTCTGCCTTAGCCTCTCAAATAATGGGATGATAGGCATGCCCTGCCGAATCTATTAACTAGATAGTAGTAACATTTCTGCACACATACATTTTAAGTTACAGTGAGATAATCATTCAACAGGGGAGCAGATACTCTTCTTTTGTGGGTAGGAAACAGCTAGGTTCTCCATTTATTTCAAAGGGCAAGGGGGATAAAGGGGCCAGGTGGAGGAGATGGAGTTTTTATAGACCAGTTTTATCAATTTTCTTTTTCTTTCTTTCTTTCTTTCTTTCTTTTTTTTTTTTTTTTTTTTTTTTTTTTTGCTTGTTTGTTTGTTTGTGACAAGGTTTCTCTTAGCTCTAGCTAACCTGGAACTGCTCTGTAGACCAGGTTGGCCTCAAACCTGCCTCTGCCTCCCAAGTGAGTGCTGGAACTCAAGGCATGCACCACCACCCACTGGCTATATAGAGACCAGTTTTATATACTTGGCAGTTTTGCTGTTTGTCTCAACTGATTGGGGTCAAAGATTATTTATGTTCCAATTCTGGTCTTGGGGCTTTCGATTTTTTTTTTTCCTTAGCAATTTTTCTTTTTTTAGTTTTTGGAGACAGGCTTTCTCTGTGTAACAACCCTGGCTATCCTGGAGCTCTCTTTGTAGACCAGGCTGGCCTTGAACTCACAGGTATCTGCTTCTCAAGTGCTGGGACTAAATGGCACATGCCACCACACCTGACTAACAATTTTTTCTTTAAAATTTATTTTTCATACAATATATTTGATCATGTTTCCCCTCCTTGATCTATCCAACATTATATTCTTTTTCTTTCAAAAACAAACAAACTTATAACAAAAATTAACACAAACTATTGAGATAAAAACAAAACAAAATGAAGACATTTATTTTTATTATATGTATATGGATGTTTTGCCTGCATGTGTTATGTGCAACATGCTTGGTGCCTATGGAGGATGTCCACTGGAAGTGGAGTTATGGGTAGTTGTGAGCCAATATGAAGGTTCTAGAAACTGAACCTGAATTTTTTTTTTTATTTGTGCAAGAGCAGTAGCCATATGTCTAGTCCTTTTCCTTATAATTTAGAAGGGGAAACTTAAACATTTGATGTGTCAAGGAACTTCACTCACAGAATTTCAGAATTTCTGTTAGTCCTGATGTCACTTCTAGAAAGTTAAGCATCTTGAGCTAGTTTAAAATAAAACAGAAATTAAGTCCCCTCCTCTCCCCCCAAAAACTTAGTATATTGTAATTAATGTTATAATTTCTACCATAGGCTATCACAGGAGCCTGTAAGTATCTAACAACTGTGGCCATCTTTGTTGATACAGCCAAGGGTTTCTACTGCTTGTGAAGAAAAGAATTTAGGTTTTGTTGATGGGAGATGTCCTTCTGTATATGTGTTTCTCTTGTTGATTGGTGAATGGGACACTGTTTGGCCAACAGAGAAGGGAAGGTGGGAGGGGCTGGGAGATGAGAGTTCTGGGAAAGGTAGGCAGAGAGAGATAGTGAGGAGATGCCATGTAGTGGAGGAGGAAGGAGTAACAGGGCAGGACCTTTCTCTGGTGAGATGAGACCATGTGGAAATACTTAGATTGGTGGAAATGGGTTGATAATTGGGGGAGAGCTAGCCAGTAGGAACCCCTAGCCATTGGCCAGCAGTTTAATAATTAGTATAGCATCTCTTTATGTCTATTTGAAGCTGAAGTGGCAGCGGGACCTGGCAGGAGGGAAACTCCAGCTACATTCTGTATCATATAATGAGATATTATTTAGTAGTAAAGACTGAAATAGATTAGTAGTTGCTTAGAGTTGGGTGAAAATAAAGAGTGTCTACTAAGGGTAGGTTTTGTTTTGTTTTTTGTTTTTTTTTTTAGAAATAAATTCTGTAGTATCTGAGTTGTAATTCCGTAGACAGAAAACAAGGATGAGAGGAAGTAGAAAGGAAAGTGATCCATTGAGTGGATCCTCAGGACACTGCTTCTGCCCCCTTGCCACAGCTTTAACCGATGCCAGCTTTTTGGCACAGGCAGTAGTTGCTTCCAGGGCAGCAGTACAAGTACACTATGCAGCCCCTCTGCATAAGTTAGCTAATACACATGTACCTGAGCACTGGTTTTCCCATGTCAAGGCATCATTCTCAGAGCAGGCTAATGTATGACTTCTTTTGCCACTTTTTGTTGAAAAATTACTCTGGAAATAGCACTTTCTGTATGTGCCAAGTATTGTAGGTTGTTGAACAGGGTTAGACTCTTGACTCTTGGCTCAGAAACTTGTCTGTCAACCAGCTTAAATAAACCACTCTTAGTTGGTATTTCTCCTTCATTTACCACTAGAGCATAAACAGTTTGGGGCTGCTGGTCAGTGGTGGCACACGGCTTTAATCCCGCCACTCATGAGGCAGAGGCAGACGGAACTCTGGGATTTCCAGGCCAGCCTGGTATACAGAGCAAGTTCCAGGACAGCTAGGGAGGGCTACACAGTGAAACCCTGTCTTGAAACTCCCCTCCCCCCCAAA